AAGTTGTGAAAATTCAAAAACTTCCTGAAACCCCTGACAAGGCTTTGCCCTGGAACTGACAGCCTCCCGCTAACACCCCTCGCTGGACACTGGCTATTTTCAGCTGTAAACACAAATTGTCATTCCCATCCCTGCATATGGACAGTTCTGATTACTGCACTCCACGACAGAGTCATAAGTCGGGTCGTACTTAACCTGACATACACAGATCAGTTTGTCAGAATTCTCAACTTCTGTTCCAGAAGATGAAACTTCTACACTAGTTGATGGAGTGGCCTCAGCGATCATAGTAACCGCAGAAAGCGGACGAGAAAACAGTTTGCCAACTAGTTCGGGTAGCACAGCTTCTGTAAAAAATGTATCCGACTTTTCGACAAGACGCTGACAGAAATCTGGATCCGTTTCAATCCTTTCGTAGTGATAATCAACATTAGTCCATACTACAAAATCACAGCACTCGATGTCGCAAACTAGTAGCTGACACTGAACTTGGTAGTAGTACTGGTGAGTTCTTTTTAGTTGCAACTTGCCGTCCACAGATTCTAAACAAGAACGACTGTCCAATGTATCTGCAAGTTTGGAATCCTTTTTGCAATATGGACATTTTACCTCTACACAAACTTCCCCGCAGCAATCACATGCAGCAATGCCGTCAGGTGATGCACCCATAAAAGGAAATTTGGGGTTAATAATCAAGCCGCTGTCTTTTAATTCAAAGTTCTCATGAGTTTTCGTCATTCTGTCAACGTACTCCGCCTTTGCAGTTTTCTCATGGTTGCAACCCCACCTGGTGGCTTTATTGCTGAAACTAACTGATTCAGGATAGCAGATGCTTTTCAGCAGGCTCTGGGAGGGTTTTTCTGGATTTGTGCCAAGAACCGCCTTTACCCTCGATGCAGTTATTCGGCCAACACGAAAACGGTGCCATTTTCTGCTGCTAGCCTGATCTCTGGTGGCTTCTTCTACATTTCTGGATTCTTCGTCAGTAACCACAAGTTCAGTTTTGAGTTTTCGACAGTGATTTTTAAGTGTGTCTGGGTCAGAGTTTACAAAACTGTCATCTCTAAGTTCTGACAGAATAACAGGATATTTTGGGTCCAAGGCTTTTGGCTTATAATTTTTGGCATAACCCGGTACAATGGAGAGCAAAACTGGCTTGGTTTGGGTCTTGTGCAGTTTTTCAAAAAATTCTGCAACTTCTTCTTGGCTAGGTTCAGGCACGTCAGGTAATTTTTTGGGCCGTTTCTGTGGTAGGGGAGTACCAGCGACTGCCGCATCTAATTTTCTCTTCTTCATGTTGGCCGATGAAAAATCTA